TCCTCATTGACTTTGTATTTGTTTCTAAGCACATCCTAAATTTCCTTTGTCGAAATGGTGTTAGTGTAGAGGTCATACAATCAATCTGAAAGAAGATTAAGGATGTCACCACGACAAATCAATTCGTTCCCTTGTCTTTTCTTCCTCTCGACCCATACTTCTTCAGAATTTTCATCTGTTGCTTCGTCAATTGGTTCCAAACTTAGATCAAGCACAAAGAAGATCTTTAATGCTGTTGGAAGGCACTTGTGTTTGTCTTGATACCGGATGAAGTTTATTCCATCGAACCTATCCAAACGAAACAAGTCTTGGTTCATCAACTTGATGGTTGCAAGTATAGTTTTCGTCCTTATCGCAGTAGGAATATAGTTTAAGATTATTGGAAAAAACAACAATGGAAAGTAGAAGAAAATGAAGATGGAATCACCAAAGAAATAGAAGAAGTGGCAAAATTTGAACACGTAATAAACGTTGTCCTCAAACGATAGTTACCTTCTCTCCAAATGCTTTGAAGGAATCAAATGACAAATCGTTTGTAGGATTTATGAACCCTAGAGAAGAATCACCAAGTACAAGTATTTCTTCCAAGTGAACTAAATGAAAACTTGAAGATTGAATATGTATGAGAATTGTTGTAATCACCTGTTGATGTACGAAATGATGGTTGTTTTTCATGTTTTTAGAGATGAAAACTATCCTTTATTTATAATTCTCAATTAACACATCTTGAAATGGTTCTAACTCTTTATGAAAGGATGGAACTTCTTATCCTAAAGCCACCCGATTTCAAACCCAGAAACCAGACCTACTACTTGTTTCCATGCCCAACCATGTGATGGCATGGGCCATGGGCAAAACCAAAGGCCCAATTTTGGTCTTCATCAATTCATTCACACATTTTGCACAGTTAAGCCAACATCAAATCCACCTCATAACATAATTTTGAACAATAGATTACAGTAAATATCATAGTTATAAAACCTGTCTAGGATTGTTTGGTCGGGTCGAAAAACCAGTGACCCAGGCCCTTGACCGGGCCGGGTAGAACATTTTCATAGAGATGCAACTGACTCAGTCTAAAATCAAGTTGACCGAGTTAATCAGCAATTTTTATGTTAACTCAATCGGTTGACTGGTTTGATCAAGATTTAAAAGTTTGTCCATATATTTTTTGTTCTCAAAAGGCTTGAATCTTAGATCTCTAGGTAAAGTGAGTACCACATAATCATTAGAGATCAATTGTTTATTGTTATGCATTTGCAATAATTATGTATATTTAAATCATTTATAGTTTGTTAAAAATATTTTTAAAAAATTATAGTAACTATTTCGATTAAAATGAATTGAATATTTAACAAAATAATATATAAATATATAAATAATTAATGACATATATATATATATATATATATATTTGTTTTATCTAAAAGAAAAACTTTATACTTTAAAAAATATTTTATAATTATTAAGAATTGACCCACCGGTCTAACCACTAGCCCACCAATTCGACTAGTAACTCGAGACCTAATGCATTTATTGAGTCGATGATCGGGTCGGGTTTAACAATTACGATTATCAAAGTATAGATAGTAACATGTTTAGAAGTTAGATTGAATTGAAAGGTACAACATGATATAACAATTGATAAATTTTGACACGTTTCTCTTTGATTTGACAATTCAGTATGTTGGAATGAATTGAAAGCGACAAATAGGATAGAAAAAAAAATTGATAAATTTTGACACATTTTGCTCTGACTAATAGTTTCATATGTTGAGTCGAATTAAAATGGATAGAACTTGACACAACAATTGATAAATTTTGACATGTTTCAACTTGAATATTGAGAGTTTAATATGTGGAATTGAACTGAAATGGACATAATAGGAAAAAAAGCATTGATAAACTTTGACTTGTTTCTCTTTGATTTCGACACCAATCGATTACGCGTACATACTTATTTATACCCTTTAAAGCCATGTTTCCATGGACGTTGCATATGTTGACATGTAAATCGGTCGCTCACAAAAGAGAAAAGACAGTTTGTACAATGTGGTTTACTGTACTATTTTTTATCTGGTATTGGTTAAAAGTTGATAAAATTTAAATTAAAGTAAAAAATTAGATTTAACTACACATTTCATTGAATTTGCATCTTTTATCAACTTTTCAATAACAAATTTCATTAATTTTGTATAAAAAATTTACTAAAAATTGATTTTTAGCAAAATTATTGAGTTATAGATGTCGGTTTTCTTGATTCTCACACTTTAGCTATATGTAATGAATCAACCTTGCTAGAAAAGCTATATAGATAAGAAGGATTTGTAAACAATGCGCATTTTTGACAATATACTTGAGGGTGGTTTCTAGTATTGAATATTTACATTGTGGTAGCTAAAAAGAAAAAAAAAAGGAAAAAGCATGTGGTGACAATGTGTTACTCTGAGTTATTTAAGAGTCAAGACTTTCGATAAATGAGAGATAGACATATTTCAGATAGAAGGAAAAAAAAATATTTAAATATATGTCTTTGGTATCATCAATTTGAGAAAAATAAAAAACGATGGTAATAAATTTTTAATATTCTAAATTTATAGTCCCGTTTGATTCTTTTTTATTTTTAAGAATGAGGATGAAAAATATAATTGTTACGGAACCATACAAGAGATAGAAAGTTAAATATGGTAATTTGATGTGATGGATAACGATCAAATTTTTTATTTTTATGACCAAAAAATAAAAATCAAACGAGGATTATATAAAATTCAAATGTATCGAGTAATGGCACTTTACATGACACCAAGCAATATGTAAGAAAAAAGTTCTGACAAAGATATGCTCGAAGAAACTTTTTTGTCAAACAATGATTGAAATCATGTTGACTCGTAGTGCTCGTTTTTATGATGTAAAACACCATTTAGCTCTTGTTTGACCCTCATTCTTTTTAAAAAATTTATTTTTCAATAATATTTTGACATCATTTCAACTACATATTCTTTAATAAAACAATATTACACGCAAATTCAAAACTTTTCATTATTTTTTAACCACACATTTCTCATCAATACACTATTCAAAAATTCATTCTTCCCCAAAAATGGGACTCAAACAAGGGCTTAATAACTTTTTGTCAATTGCTGTGTGATGCAACTTTAAGCACCACTTGATGAGAGTTTAAGATAGAAATATTAAACATTATTTCATTTTTCTGTTTTCTCCGTTTCTCATCAAGCAATAACACATTGATTTAATCATTTGTCCAGGCCACAAAGGACTACATAATAGATTTTGTTCAATTGATAAACTCCAATTACATGATTCCATTACTCAAGATTTCCACGTACATTTAATCAAATATTTTTATACGGAAATGAAGTGCAAAAGTGTCCAGTCTCCAAATAAAACTAAATGGGAAAGAATGTGTTGGCCGATTTTAATAATAAATCATTTATTCAAGTAAAAAATTGGAAATACAAACCCTAAGATATATTAACTAGCAACAATCTAGGCTAATGAACTTAGGTTTATGCTCCAACTAGCTTAACAAGATTCACAATTTTCCTAATAACAACAAATATATGGGGAAGACGCTTGCTCTAATAGCTAGTGCTTGTCATCGGGCTTCTTATACTTTTGATCGGGAAGCAGAGCTTGACAACCCTAACCGAGGGAGCGCTACTCTTAGGTTTTCTAATGCTTTGGACTTACTAACATACTGTTTATTTTCTTTTTCTTCTTCATCCTATTAACTCAAGACCTTTTATATATCTAGAGATAAGGGAAACAAAGGGATAATGCAAAAAGAAAAGAAAAATTAGATCGAGTTTATCTCTTTTTTGAGGATATTTCGATATCATATACAGGAAGGATACTAAATACTTTTTGTAATTTTATTTAGTTTTCAAGCCTTGTATAAAATATGGTGTTTTCTTAACCAAAATTTTCAAACTTAATCTCTTATAGTTTCAATTAAATTAAGGTTGATTTTTAAAGTTGTGCAAATAAGAACAACCGTGGATGAATAATGGCGGTTCAAAGTGAAATATCAATTAGATGTTATTAAATGCTTAGAAAAGATTGTCTAATAAATATATTAGCTTTCAAAAAACTCGACCATCTCTTCAAATTCTCTCCATAACAAAAGGGTAGATATAATGCTAAAACTGGTAATTTTTGGAGATTCATGGTATACTGTATTAGTGTTTGTTGTATAAGTCATACGAGATATTTGATCACTTATACAGTTATACTTTACCTTACCAACCCAACCTATTACTAATTCACTAGGCATGAAGCCAGGGAATTTTGAACTTTCATTGGAGAATCGACTAATTGTCTAGTATTCATTAGAATTAGACAATTCAAGAAACTTTTGAACAATGATAGATGAGTTGGAGTATTCATGATGACCCATAAAAAACCGTCCTTCAAACCAGATATAAAATTACATCTTTCCTTATACACAACTTCAATAAGCACAATACTTGATCTTTATAAACAACTTATCAAAAGCAACATTAAATTCATCAAATGATCGTGCTATTAAAAAAATGGATAATATGCAAAAAAGAAGACCTTTTCAAAATGGAAATGGTAGAAATGTAATCACAATTTAGGCATGTTTCACCATAAGAAATTATGCTCAACAAAAGGCATGAAATATCAATTGCCAGAATTATCCCTATAAATGTTTAATTCCAATAACATGCTCGCACCATGAAATTCTCAAATACATGTATGATTCTCATTTTTTCCCTTCTTTTTAGCAAACATTATCAGTTCGATTATCGAAACGTAAAATATTAGATATGATACTAATATTAGGATCGCTAACAAAAATGACATAAATGTTGAAGATGACATCAGCGTCTTTTCATTTATTTTAATAAATTCAAACAAGTTCTTGAAATATAGTAATTCTTGAGGAAAAATGTATTAGTAGTACTTCTCAAGATGAGTTCAAGCAAGTGACTTAGAAAATCTTCTTACTTATATTTACCATTTTCTTAAAGCGGACTCATCAAAACCCTACCCATCACACCATAAATTCCCACCTACAGTTGCCCACTGGCCACTGCCGCCTTCAAACCCTAAAACAGCCAACCCGCCTTCTCCCTACTTGCTAAACCCTAATTTTCTCACCATCCTTGGTGAGTTCAATTCTGTTCAATTCATGCATATTTGCTTTTATTGTTTCTGAAGACTCTATTCATTTTTTTTTCCTTTTTTTTTCTTTTTTTTATCTCCTTCAATAATTTTACTTTTTCTGTGATTGTTTAAGGTTGAAGACAATGTCGGATGAGGAAAGAGAGGAGAGGGAGTTGGATCTCACCTCTCCTGAAGTTGTCACTAAATACAAATCCGCTGCTGAAATTGTTAACAGTTACGATATCGAACCATATATCTCTGCGCGCACAAACGTTTGTTTTTGTTTGCTATTGGGTATTTTGGATTTAATTTTAATTGAATTTCTTCAATTGATGCAGAGGCATTGCAGTTAGTGTTGTCTGAATGCAAGCCAAAGGCTAAGATTATTGACATCTGTGAGAAGGGGGATTCGTTTATCGGAGAGTAAGCTCGTTATTTCATTTAATCTGCTACCAAAATTAATTAGCAGTAATCTTATAAGAAAATATGTATTCTTATATTCATGTGGGATTTTTCTGTATTTATGTTTGGGGTATATTGATATTAAGTGGTTGCACGGCGTGCTAAATTTCTAGGCAAACAGGAAATATGTACAAGAATGTGAAGAAGAAGATAGAAAGGGGTGTGGCATTCCCTACTTGCATTTCAGTTAATAACACGGTCTGCCATTTTTCACCGCTGGCCAGTGATGATACTGTGTTGGAAGAAGGCGACTTGTTAAAAATGTAAGCTTTTCTCAAGCTGTCTAACGTGTGCTTTTAAGGTATGTAAGCATGGAACTTGTGATAGTACCAATATTTTTTGGCTAACAGTGAGATTATGTGGTTTTCTTGGAATGCAGTGATATGGGGTGTCACATAGATGGTTTTATTGCAGTTGTTGCGCACACCCATGTTCTTCAGCAAGGACCAGTTACCGGAAGGGCTGCTGATGTTATTGCTGCAGCAAATACTGCTGCTGAGGTTGCTTTGAGGCTGGTCAGGCCAGGAAAAAATGTATGTTGCTTCTCCAATTTTTCTTATTAAATGATGTCCATTAATTAAGACACTTGAATGGCTGCCTTCACGTGTGAAAGTTACAATTCTCCAAGTTAGATGGAGTTGAAAGTTTGACTTTAATTCCAATTTTGTCTCAGCTTATTTCAACTAAAATGTGTTTACTGCAATTAACTTGTGATTGACTTTCTATTTCTATGGAGTAATAATTCTTTTGAAAACTCCACAATGTTATTTTTATGTACATTATCTGCTATAAATATTTGGTTATCATTGTAATGCCAGTTCTTATATTCCCGCTTAACTTCGTAAACTTATTTATTTATTTTTTCTCTAAGTTCTCAGTTTCTGATATGCTTCCTATTTAGTCTTAAATGACTTGTGCTAATTCGACAAATGAATACTTTCCGTTACATGGTAGCCAATACAAATGTTTAATTTTAGTCTACTATTTATGGAGCCCGTTTGGTACGGATTAAAATCTGATTTTAATTTAAGTCAAAGTTAGACAATCAATATTAACCGCATCTTTCATGGGTTCCACAACTTTTCAATTACACATTTCAAATATTTCTATCACAATCTACTAAAAAAGTCTAATTTTAATCCTCACCAAACACCGTCATGGTGTCAAATGAAGGGTGCGCCTGTGATCTGTCCGTTCCTTTAGTTCTTGTACATGGACGAGGAGTCATGATTGCATTCACATCTCAACTTTTTGTAATTCCTTCCAAGTTCCTCTAAGTGATGGAGCTTTTGTATAGGCTATGGATTGATGCCCATGTGAAGCTTTAGTCATAGTTACTCTGATAGAAGACCATCATCTTTCTTCTACTCTAGTCTATACATATGCATTCAACTTATTGCTTAGGATCTATTTGCTAGTATCTGAAGTTGTTTTGTAATTGGGTGAGCGTATGGGTACTTGAAAATCTTAGTGATTAACATTGAATGAACTGCATCGGCAACTTTACCATTGTGATTGTTTCTTTGCGAGTCTCCTATTTTCCCTGTTTCCTATATTGCAGTTGGCCTGGTTGAATATTTTTGCTGGTGAAATGCTTACTATACCAGCTAATTTCTGTCTGCCAACATTGAAGTTAGTAGCAATAAATCACCAAGTATAGTACCTGAGGCTTTATTAGGTAAACTTGATATTGAAGCTAATAATTTGTTGGGACCTTCCTTGTTATGGAATTATTATCTTATTTGTTGATGTGAAATTGTTTATGTAGTACATGTACATGGACCAAAAGGCATGACATGTGCATCTCAACTTGGAGTATATCCTTCAAGGGTCCTCTAAATGATGTAAGTTTTGTATAAGCTATGGATTGACATCCATGTGAAGCTTTAGTCATAGTTACTCTGATAGAGGACATCATCTTACTTTTGCTTAGGTCTGTTCATACATAAGCACCTATTGCTTAGAATCCAATTTAAAGTATCTAAAGTTGCATTGAAATAGGATCAATTACGGGGTACTTGTAAATAACATAGTGAAAATAATTTAATGAAATTTATTGAGCTACCAGGCAACTTTGCCGAGGCGATTGATTCTTTGTGAATCTCCTCTTTTCCCTGTTGCCTATATTACGATTGGTCTGCTTTAATATTTCTGCTGGTGAGTTCTTACCATACCAGCCAATTCAAGTGTGCCAACATTGTATTTAACAGGAATAGATCCTACAGTATAGTGTCTAAGGAGCAGTCTAATAAAATGAACGGCAATAAGATGAGATATGTGTACTTGTGAAGAACATAGTGATACAGATAGAATGAAATTTATCGAGCTACTCAGGCAACTTTGCGAGTCTTTGTGAGTCTATTATTTTCCCTGGAGGCATATTGCAATTGGCCTGCTTGAATATTTCAGCTGGTGAGTTCTTACAATACCAGCTTATTCCAGTGTGCTGACATTGTATTTAATAGTAATAAATCCTACACAGTACAGCGTCCAAAGTGTAGTCTACAGTATTGTGTCCAAAGTAGTCTACAGTATTGTGTCCAAAGTGTAGTCTAAGTTGACTAAAGCTAATAGTTTTCATTGACGTTGCTTGATGTGAAATTGTTATCTTATCGATTGACTGAGCTGATCTATTTTCAGTCCCGACTCTTCTAAATGACGAGTACTAGTTAAAAGCTATGGAATAATATTTCAAGTGAAGTTTTTGTCATAGTTACTTTGATGGAAATGTGAAATGCTTGCCTGAGCATACACTCTTGAATATTAAAGTGCTTGTCTTAATCTAAATTAGATTTGACGTTTTTGCTTTTGCATCTTGCCTCGTGCTTAGATTCGTGTTGTGTAGTTTGAATGTCTCTGGTGAGAACATTTTGGATTGGAAAAAGACAACTTTGCCGAGGTTTTCAATTCTCTATTGAGTTTCCTCTTTTCTCTGCTGCCAATATTTGTATAGGCTGCATATCTATATTTGGGACTGAATTATATGCTGTCAGTTCTTGACATCTTGCTTCGCTGAAATATTCACGACCAATCTTGTCTGTCTGCTGCACTATCCTAGCTTAGATCTGAATTAGCTTTAGATATGCATGGCTTTCGTGTTAGATAAGATGATTTGGGGAAAAAATTAATATTTGCTAATCAAGCTGGTTGAAAATATCTTGGTGATGTGCAACTTGATACCACCTTTGTTGTGTATTTTTATTACTCAAGTCTCAAATTGTTTTCTTCGACATCTTTTAACGAATTCAATGTTACTTTTAATGGCAGAACAAAGATGTTACTGAAGCAATTCAGAAAGTTGCTGCTGCTTATGACTGCAAGATTGTTGAAGGGGTTCTCAGTCATCAAATGAAACAATTCGTAATTGATGGAAACAAGGTTGTATTGAGTGTTTCAGCCCCCGAGACGCGAGTAGATGATGCTGAATTTGAGGAGAATGAGGTTTATGCCATCGATATAGTTACCAGCACTGGTGAAGGCAAGGTAATTATTATACTCGATTCCTATAGCAACATTAAGCACCTGTTTGGCCCTCATTATTTAAAACTCATTTTTCCTAAATTCATTTTCAACCACACATTTCATTGACCCACAACTTTTATCAACTTTTCAATTGCATATTTCAAGCTTTTATCAAAATCAACTAAAAATTTAATTTTTATCCAAACCAAACAGGTGCTAAATTTGGTTTTTATTAGCCTTAACATGGAATGCTTATTAAACCTGTGCAGCCCAAGTTATTGGATGAGAAACAGACAACCATATATAAGAGGGCTGTTGACAAGAGTTACCACCTAAAGATGAAAGCATCCCGATTCATATATAGTGAGATAAACCAGAAGTTTCCAATCATGCCATTTACTGCTAGGTATGTCTTGCTCTATTATTTTCTTGCAACTTTTTCAAGTATGCGATTTACAATTGGCAGTACGTTCTTTAGCGACAATAATGAGCAGGATGGATGTGTAACAGGGCTTTGGAAGAGAAGCGCTCTCGACTTGGCCTTGTAGAATGTCTTAATCATGATCTCTTGGAGCCGTATCCTGTTCTTCATGAGAAGCCTGGTAATGAGTATTGTTTTTAGGATTTTGTGAATAATTAAGATAAAAAATGTTGAAAGTTTTTTTTCCTACTCAAATGTAACTGTTACCTTGCACTCGTGCTTTTTTCCAACTTTTATTAATGAAAAAACTATTTATTTTTATGTACGAGTATAAAAGTAGATATACAGGTGAATCAGGTGAACTTGTTAATTATTTTGATGTTTATGGTATGTGTTTGCTGCATGCGTCAATGACTTGTCGGTTGCATTGCAGGTGATCTTGTTGCGCACATCAAATTTACCGTTTTGTTAATGCCAAATGGATCGGACCGCATTACATCCCATTCTCTACAGGAGTTGCAGCCTACTAAAACGGTAGATGACCCCGAGATAAAAGCCTGGTTATCTTTAGGTACGAAGGCTAAGAAGAAGGGTGGCGGGAAAAAGAAGAAAGGCAAGTTTGAAATCATAGCATTCCAACCTTTGCAGTGGTTTGTTAATCGTTATGTTTTTTTGATAAATGCATTTTGCAAATTTTTATTTTCCAGGTAAGAAAGCTGATGAGGCGGCCAATGAAGAAGCCAAGGATGAAAATTCACAAGGATGAGAGACTTTATTTCTTTCTCTTGGAAATTTTGACCGTTGCTTTGTAATTTGTTGCTCTAGCTGCTGTGTCTGTTGATGAGAATATTTTTGAATGATTATACTGCATATACACAGCGTCATTCGCCCTTTTCTGTATCCTTCTCTTTGTAGACAGGATAAGAGATACTATAGAAACTTGAATCAAATCCAGAGGAATTATTCTCGAATTTGGATTTGTAGATATATCAGTTTCATTTGTTGTTTTTTGTTTTTTTTTCCCCTTAATAACCAAATTTCAGGGTCGACACAATTCCCTGTGATGAGAGATAATTAGCCAACTGGAGAGGGGTAGTAAAGCATAGTCTGTTAAAATATTAAACTGTAGAGCCCAATACGTTATAGAATTCTAAGAAATGACAAGAGGCTCTTAAGTTTGTGATTGGGCATATTAACTTCTTAGGGAGGAACTTTTTGATGCATATGCACTAAATAATGAACCATTCAAGTCATGTTCAACTAATAGTGGATTTGTGATAGCAGTTTGTTATGATAATTATGAATGAGTCAAGATTTGCTGTCAAACTTCACTTCAAACTTATAGTGAAGCCAAGAGTAGGGACATTTAAAGAAACAGGCTTATGTTGGTAGATCTTGACTCAATACAAAAGCCCTTATTTAGGGGGGAAAATGTCGCATAGCATAGATGATACTAAATGGTAGGTTCAAGTAAATATGAAAAGATGTGACCCATTTAATTAGGTCGATCATTTATTGTTGTTTAATGCTACGTAGATCGATATTTAAACTAGTAATGCCAAAATGAATTCTTGTCGACTTTTCAATACTTTTCTAACGTTTTGATAGTAGAAGACTCACCCCCAACCACTTTAGGGACCTCCATCCATATTGTTTCGTGCGGGTTAGTCGCTAACAATTAAAAAGGGATCAGTCGATTGTGTAAGGGACAAACTTTTTGAGACAAAGTCCCAAAAAGGGGTGTTTTTATTGGTGATGACTTTACAATTGGAAAATAAAAATAGAATGCCTCCAAGGGGCGCAAGCACACGAGTTACTGAAAAGAAGTGTTTAAATCTAAACTAAGAAATTGAAAGTTACATATTCTCTGTTTGAGAGTGTTTGATTCGGGGTTGCTCCATGTCTTTTCTTCTTTTTATACTCCCTGGATGATCTCTTCGTGATCAACCGCTTAAAAATTGCTTGATCGCTCTATAACTGTCCACTTTCTTCATAGTGGCCAACTTGTCATAGAACTGCTTTCTCTAACTGCTGCCATTACCTTTTGTCGTTCAACCGTCTTCAATTGAATTCCTTGAATCGTGGAACGTGATAGAGCTACTCAATAACTGCTTTATTAACCGTACATTTGGGTAACCATAACATCTTATGTTTGCTAAGATCCTGGAAGACTCGAAGGTTTGGGCGAGAACAGGGTCACAGTTCTGGGCGACTGCATGGCAATCCATTCGCTCAAATCTTGGGCGACTTGTAACCTTGGACGATGGTATTACGGCATTCATGGGCTTCCCTATTTGGGCCTTTATCTTGCATTGCCTGATTGGGTCGTTCTTTAGGCTATCTGATTTGGGGATCCTCCAATTGGGTTTCATTCCTTGGGCTATTCGATTTGGGCTGAACTTTTGTATGTCAACAATTACCCTCCAATATGGCAGAATTAATACCAATTATTAATTTTTGCCATATTCACTTTGTGTTTCCCAGCAACATTCGAAATTCCCAAGAATTTCAATCATTGTTTTCTTCCATAGCCTGAAAAGGTGCGACGTTTGCAAACCCTTATAACCCCCAAATACACACCATTTCATTGCACCACTAAATCACGCCTCATTGTTTCGCGCTTCTCTCTCCCAATATTACTATTCATCTTCTTGCTTCTCTGCTATGTAACTTCGACAAACTCTATTTCATTCCTAATGGCTACTTCATAATCCCAGTCTGGTGACTCCTTCAGTTTTGAAGACTTCCAGAAACTCCTCACTCGGCCATATATAACTCCGAACTTCCTTGCACCAGCCAATGTTGAACTCAATGAGTTCTACCTAGGTCCTTCATTTAACAACGCCGAAGCCATCGAACAAGCGGTGGTAGGTCAGCTATTCCCTTGTACTCAGGGCCCTCCGTTTCTAAACTCTTTGCTGCTGAGGCCGCTTCGGGAAAGAGGTATTCGCACTTGGCCTAAATCTGATATCGTTTTCCGTAGATGGCATGCTCGCCTTGTGGACTATGGTCCGACTAAGGCCATTTTTGATAGTGCTAGGATTTCTGATTTGTTAGAAATCTCTCTTCAACCCCCTATTTTTGACCCAGCACTTTTTTCAATCACTTTAAGTTTTTGGTCTTCTGAGTATAATACTTTTGTTTTCCCTCTTGGTCCCATGTCCATTACCTTAAGGGATGTTGGGGTCCTAGTAAATCTGCCACCTTTGGACGATACCATTTTCCCTGATATTTTGATTTCTGGTGTCACCCCAAAATTTGATAAAAAACTCATCGAGTCTTATTCAAGCCTACAAACTTGTCATAACCACTCGAGCGCTGAGCCTTCCCATGCTGAGCGTGTGGCCTTTCTTTAGGTTTGGCTTTGTAAATACATTTTGTGTGTGCCAAGCATGAAGCCCTCCACGAGTTATTTACCCATAGCGCACGAATTGGCGCATGGTAGGCTTCTAAATTTGTGTTCTTTCTTTTTAGCTGCCCTCTATAGAGGCATGGCTTCTCTTCAATCCCAATTGAAGAATGTTGCATCTCCTACTGGCAGTGGGTCTCTTTGGTTCACTCAAATGTGGTTGAGAGCCTATTTTCCATCACTTGGTGCTCCATCTTTTTCCAATCCTTCTGCTAGCTGCTATGGGCTAGCCATTGATCCCCTGACTCCTGTAAATATGTCCAAAAGGGACATTTTTTCATTCTTTTATACTTTGAATTCAATTCCTTCTTTCTTTCCTTTTCCTCCCTTTTTAACTCCAGATTATGTGCAACCCCCATCCACCCTGGACAGTGCGAGCACCTCTCTGCTCGTTTGGATTCAGTTTTTGACCGGGAGGGAGTTGTTCCATGATATTTTGACTGGAACCAATGCCAAAGCTGGGGTTCAAATATACGCTTCCTAATTTTTTGCTCGCCAACTTAGCTTTGGCCAAACTTGGCCCGTTCCCCCTTGCTATTCAAGAAATTTAATAGACCGCTTCCACACCATTAATAAGACAGAGGCAGAAACTATAGATGCTCGCAATATTCTTTTGACGAGCAACTTTTCATTAGCCTCTTTCAATCCTAGTCGTGCCATCCATCCCCTTTTTGAACGACTCTGGCCGTCAGTGAAGCGCAGATTGTTTGCGACTGATACCAATCGTGCTTTCCATTCACTGGACCAGCCAAACATTTCTTCCACCTCTCCTGTTTTGGTCTCTCCTGTATCCATTAGGAGTCCCTCTTCCCCTGCTCGTGCTAAACAGTATGCTCGTCCATCGACTTCTCTTCCTGCCAAGCCCATTGCAGCTAAAAGTGCCCCAAGCTGCAAACGGCCAGCCTCAGCATCTCCTATTTTGGAGGATGATGCTGATGACACCCTTCTCATCGTTAGGAGGAAGGTAATTAAATTGGTTTACTCACAAGCATACCTTTCCATACTAGAAACTTTTCTATGTGCTGATAGTTTATTTGGATTTCTCAGAAAAGTTCAGCCTCTCCCTTGAAGGCTTTGGTGTTGGCAGCTCCTGCTCCATCATCCTCTGTTGAGGCTGCTTCTTCCAAACCAGCTGATGAAGGGACTACGCTTAAAGAGAAATCTTCAGTCCTAGAATCTTCATCACAACCAATGGATGAGCCACCTTCTTCTCAGGGCGTCGACCCCCCAAACGTCGAAGTAGAAGGTAATTCATTTTTTGATGCTTCACCTTTGCTTGTGCTATTGGTTTTTGATTTGTTACTTTTTGAGTTCTGCAGATGCTCCCATGAGTCTGCCCGTTGCGGCAAGTTCTTCTCGCTTAGACAAGGGGAAGTCCTCACGAATGGTGGAGCCACAGGTGGTAGATTTGGCTGGGGATATGCCACCTTCCAAGATTGCTGATGAGGTAATCTTTGCTTTACCTTTACTTTCACTTTGTTTAGTGTAGTGAAAACCTTCAATGTTGGTAACTTTTTTTGCAGGATGCTGATAAAATTGTGCGTTCCATCCAAGACTTGTTCACTTCCTGGGGGCAAGTCAAGACATCTCGCTTTGCTTCAGCCAGTCGTCCTTCCGCTTCTTCAGAGGAAGATATGAAGTTCCTCAAGCAGTCGATATTTGAGTATGTGTCCTTCATGGATATGGACATCGGTAAGGCTAGTGCTGCCAAGCATAAGGATAAGTTTGAGCATTTGAATGCGAAATTGGAGCAAGCACTGACACTTCCGTCGTTCAATATTTCTGCTGATTTTAAAGCGACGTTGAAAGTTGTCCATTCCGAGATCCTCTCCTTGCTGGCCAAAAATGTTGAACTGAAGGCCAAAAGTACTCAATATCTTCGCGCTGTATCTGAAAAGAGTCCTTGCTTCTGGAGATCAACAAAGCTGAGGACAAGTTGAAAGAAATCTCTTCCGAAGTCATGATTGAAGACTCTTTGATGACTAGTTTGGCCGCACAGATGAAGGAGCTTCAAGCCAAGATGGACAACTGCAAGGCGAGAATGGCTGCTAAAAAGCGTAATGCCTCCCAAGGAATTGAGCCAACTAAGTCTTTGGTCGAACAGTACAAGAAGCTGGAAGTTAATGATGATGTTGTGGCTGAATTGAATATCACTTCTTCTCGACAGAGCGAGGACTGGGGGAGACTTAGGGAAGAATTCGTTTGGTATGGGGCGAATTGTAATTAAGACATATAATGCCTTAACTTTTTATTTTTGTAATTTCGTATTGACTTTCCCTTTGTAACCTTGTACTGATATCCATTGCTAATTTTGATCATAACAGCAGCCATCATTGTTAATGAATAACTATTTTAGCTTCTTGTGTATTTATTGACGTTTGTCTTTTAATCGTCAATCGCTCAAGTATTTAACTGCTTTACGCTAAAATTATTTGTACATTTATCTTGATATTTCTGCCTCTTTTCCCAAGACTTTGGGCCACTTGATTCCATTTGCTAGGCACGAATGTGGCTGTTCATATTCTATCTCTTCACCTTTATCCCTTTATAAATGCACGTATACTTCACACTTTCCATC